TTTTTTTTTTTTTTTTTTTTTTTGAAAGTTTTAAGATTATTATTAAAATTTTTGAATTTTGAATTTCGACGTGGGGGACAAATAAATCTTTTTTAATTTAACCCATAGTTCATCCATTCGGAAAGCGCCAATCTCACTCATAACATTGAGGCATCCGAGAGGTCGGGAAACGACCCTCTGGGACTCCATTTCTCCTTCCCTTCGTTTATAACGTGGGCAACGAGCAGAAGCAGAAGACGCGCCATATTTCATCCATTACTTCTTCCTTCTCTACATTTCCCCAAAGGTTTAGTGCCAATTGCTTCTTGGATTCCGATTCTTTTCTTCTTTCGAATTCCTCGTTAACTTCCATGTTCTGCAGATGTGCTTTAAGTGTTCAAAGTCAGTTTTCGTCTGTATTACTTTAATTATCTGCTAATCTCAACAATAGATTCGTTGAAAGTTGATTTTATTTTGGTTTTACTCTATCGAGGCATCCATTGTTTGATCTCTTTCGATGAGAATGTTGATCCGTGCCAGATTAATTTTCAAACTGGTATTGGTCTTCCAAAACTTCAAATGAATTCTTGAAGGTCCTGGTTGAATTTTATTCTTGTTTTCACGTATGATTTTAAGAAACACTAGATTTGTAGTCAAATTATAAAAACTTAGATTGAAGTCAGCTTGTAGAATGATCAATGAGCCGTGGATTGAGGTCTTGAGCCTGATGCCGTAAAATACACTACAAGGATGAATAGCTGCTTTAGATGTATGCTTTTGATGGCGTTGCTTACTGCACAGTTATTGGTGCTTTTCTCGAGTTAGTTGCGTTTGAAGGGCAAAATGTTTGCATAGAATAGATGATAAAGAATGGCGTGGGAATTGATTAGTTTATAATACATTTGTTAATTTGTACTGTAAAGAAGATGAGTTGGAGGCTGCATTTAAGCTGTTGGACGAGCTAGAGTCGTCTTCAGTCTTGGTTGTCTGTTGTGTTCCCCATAAGGTGGAATCCGTATCTCGAGTCTTGCTTATATAGTTTCATTAGCCCCGACCTAGATACGAGCACGCCGAGCTTTTCAGCGAGAAGCAAGAAAATCGAAAGGACAGAGAAAAAAAGCAAGATAGACTTCCGTGTGGGCAGGCCTACTATCCATTTTGTTACTATGGAGCTGGGCGGTAAACGAGTAAATGCGATCCCGCCCTCCATCAGCCGGTGTGTGTGAGCTTCACTCCTTATAGCTCTATACCGCCACCGGTCCCTTGTGTGAATCTATGATAACTAAAGGGTTGTGCAGGGCTGGTAATATCGAGGGGGCCCGACGGCATTTGAATGACATGTATATGACAGGTTTTGCTTCAAACTTGGTAGCCTTAAATTGTCTAGTTGACAGGTTGTGTAGAGCTGGACAAATTGACCAAGCAATGAATTGTTTGAATCAATGGAAACAAGGGATTCTTTTATGTACTCCTCCTTCGTGCACAATCTTTGCAAGGCAAGGAGATTCCGTTGTGCGTCTGAGTTATTGCTTTTGTGTTTAAAAGATGGCACAAAGGTTCTTAAGTTGACACAACGTGCGGTTATTGAACGTGTAATAGCCTTTTCCCTCAAGGTTTTTAAAACGCTTCTGCTAAGGAGAGATTTTTACACTCTTATAAAGAATGTGGGATCTCACACTCCACTCCCCTTTGGAGCCCACGTCCTCGCTGACACTTATTTCCCTCTCCAATCGATGTGGGATCTCACAAAACAAGACTTGTTCTATAGGTTGTATGACTGTGTCGTCGAGTTCTAAGGAAAGGTATACCGACCCTGTTAGCCTCGTTCAAAATCTTGTCCTTAAAGTTGCTTTAGTTGGACTTCTATGCTATTTTGGAGACTGAAGTATCCTCTGTGTGGACTAGTGGCTGAACTTTTGCTTTTGTGTGAGCAGGTTTATTTTATCACATCATACGGCTTCATTTTCAGCATGTTCTTGAGAATCTATGGGGATGTCTTATGGCCTCCAGCTCCTGGTGCACATTCAATTCAGGAACTTCTCTGTTTCCTCTCAAGTATTCACTTTTCAAAGTTTATTTATCGTCACTATTTTTAACCGTGCCCAAGTACATTTTTGTGAGATCCCCCATCAGTTGGAGAGAAGAATGAAACAGGAGAATGAAACATTCTTTATAAGAGTGTGGATATCTCTCCCTACCAGACGCGTTTTAAAAACCTTGAGGAGAAGCCCAAAAAAAATAATATTTGTTAGCGGTAGGCTTGTGCTATTACAAAGGGTATCAGAACCAGGTTTCGGGCGATGTGCTAACGAGGTGGCTGAGCCTTGAAGGCGGTGGATACGAGGCGGTGTGCCAACAAGGACGCTGGCCCCAAAGGGGGTAGATTTGGGAGTCTCACATCGATTGGAGAAGGGAACGAGTGCCAGTGAGAACGCTGGACCTCGAAGGAAGGTGGATTGTGAGATCTCACATCAATTAGGGAGGAGAACGAAACATTCTTTTACAAAGGTGTGGAAACCTCTCCCTAGCAGACACGTTTTAAAAAAATTGGGAGATTACAGTTTTGTCAATCGTAAATGAACGAAGATGAGAAATTTCCTTGGCATTTGGTATGTTTTCTTCCCTTTTAAATACTATGTTTGTACCAACCTAATCACAGTTCAATTGGTTAACGTTATTAAAGCGTTATATCATCGACCGAAGAGGTCATGAATTCAAGTTCCCTCCCCCACACAGTATTATACTCAAAAGCTATAGCATGCAAGTATAAGCTATAATTTTTGACTTTATTGCTGGTTAATGTGATGATAGGATGTTCGAGCAAAGCCATCACTCATCATCAGAAGAAATTGAATCGAAAAAACCATGGGAGGAGGAAGGCTAGAACCGTGCATGTCAATAGAAAATTACAGAACCGCTGCCCCCAGCAACATGATAACGGAACCTCGTTGTCCAAGGACACTGCCGACACGCTTGAGCTTGCTACCATCCTCCTCTCATTCCTCTGTATCATGAAAACGCTGCTCCTGTTTCCCCGCACGTTTGTAGCTGTCTGACCACATATCTCACACTGTCTATTATTAGAAACAGATGAAGCTGAATTGGCGTTGTAAAACCAAAATCACTGATATCTGAATGATGAACAGAGAATCTTTTACCTGTTGCCTCTATGCATAAACCAAATCTCGGCGCAGTCACGGTGGGACATTCCGAGCTCGCCTTTGCAGCGACATCCGAGGTTTACGAGGTCTGAACTTACCGACTCGTCGGAACTCAAATGACATATCCTGCAAACCTTTTCATTACTAGAATTTGCATCATCCATTGACTCACCAGTGCTTTTTATGTCAATGATGCAGGTATGATGGCTCTCAGGCTGTCTAGAGCTCTTACCAGCCCCCTCATGCTCATGCTCATGCTCGTGCTCCGATCTTGCAAGTACTTCTTTTGCTTCTTCGGGTCTCGTCGGCGACACGATAACTATCTCGGGTTCATCTGGACTTGTTGTTCGACTCGATCCTTCCTCTTGTTCGATCATATCGAACGAGTTTACATATCATAGAAGAAGAAATGGTTGAATCAGCTCCAGGTAATTTGGGCTGGGTTCTTGGAAACAAGCATGGAAATGAATGATAAATGGGGAAGAATTAGACTGTTGTGTTTCTTTAGTACGAAGCAAGGGAGACTGACAACTACACGGAATTTCAACTAACTGTAAGGAATAAGCCTTTCTCCCTTGTTGGTTGCAGAGACAAGACAAGAATTTATGGGAAGAGAGCGATTATCCAGTGAGGCACAGCCCCACAACAAGTCTCAGTGCCTACGAATTGCTTCTGAAACCTTCCAGATCTCAAAGAGTTGTAAGCTTCCTAACACTCTTAATCAAATTCAATTTGGCTTTATTATCTTTTGGGTTTGTGATTTACTTGATTGATTGAAAGTTGGTTGAAAACTCCCACACGTTTTCAATGATATGATCCCTTCCCCCTTCCCCACTTTAGTTTTTCAGGTTTGGATTTTGTAACTACTTTAACTGTGGAGGACACGTTTTCTTAGAGGACCTTGAATTATTTACGATCAAAATTTGTCAATTTCATGTCGGAAGATGCTAAGATTTGAAGAATTTGACCACCTGTTTAGTTAAACACTTTCCAAACGTTTCTTTATCGATCTACTTTTTTTAAAATAAAGGGAACTCATTAGTCATTTTTATTCAATTTTAAAAAGGCGCCTACCTCTCTTACCGGTGTAGGAAAGAAGAAAGTTTAACGGGTTAATGCGTCAATTTGTCGATCTTAAAATTTCATGTTGGGAGATGCTAAAGTTCGAAGAATTTGACCACCTGTTTAGTTTATTGGTCCGCTATTTCTTTATTTTTAAAGGGAACCCATTTTTAAAAATTTCTTGTCTCTCTTAAAAGTGTAAGATAGAAGATAATAGGGATTCTCTCCAAAGATCTTTTCTTTTTTTTTTTCAATCAAAGAGAAGAAATCTCCAAGAAGCGTAGAGGAAAGAGTTTTGCGGGAATTGTCTTGAATTCTTTCAACCCGTGACATTACCCAATCAGTCAAGCTAAGCTGAGCTAAGAGAGAAAAATGGCCGTCCTTCCAATCAAGCAATGCCCTCACCAATGTTTAAATGTTAAATTTTAATGCTAAATTATTTCAAAAATCTTTAATATTACCCGTAATATTTTATAAAATTTTCAAAACTATCATTAAAATATAAATTCATTAAGATGTTAGACATGGTGTAATGTTGTTAATCATTATTACGGTCAGTTTAGATTATTACTATGTTAAATTTTTTAAAAATATTTTAATTAAATTTTACTTTATATTGAAAATAATATTGTAAAATTAAAAAAAAAAACAGGAATATTTTAAAATAAGAAGCAAAATTTAGGAATATTAATGTTTTTATTGTATTGCCAAATTCGATGAGTAGAATGAAATGAATCGAGGAGTTATTTAAACCTAAGATTTAACTTGTTTGGAAAATATAAAATGGCTGTCGAGATTCTATTGCCGTTTTGACACCCTGACCTGTCCGTGAGTACGCGCCTTTCGAAGACGTGATTAAAAAAATGAAAATATATATATATATATATATAAAGCGTTAGTCGTCAAAAGTTAGATGAATATATTTAAAGCTCCGAGTCTGCGCTGCGCATTTCGAGGTTCTCATGTCTATTTGTTCAGTTGGAGCCTGAAGCCAGAGGTCTCTCTGTTTTCGCGCCTCCACGAAATCTCCGCCGTTTTTTCGTCTGAGTTTTGTAAAGAGAACGGCGAGAGAGAGAGCTATCAGTTTGCTTGTTGGTGTTCATGGCGTTTCAAGCAGTGATTTCTAGGAAGGTTTTAGACCGGAGCTTGAGTAGCTTCGGCGTCGGAGCTAGATCCATGTCGTCTTGGTGGAAGAACGTCGAACCGGCTCCGAAAGATCCGATTCTAGGCGTTACTGAAGCTTTCTTGGCTGATCCGAGTCCTAGCAAAGTCAATGTTGGAGTAGTGAGTTTCTACTTCTTCTTGCCTTGTTCGCCTTGGATTTTGATACGATTACTGTTTGATTGCTGGTGTAGCTTTGGTTGTGATTTGTGCTTCTATTGAGTTTTAATAACTAAGAACACAAACGTCGGAATGACAATCGAAGTTTCCAATGCGAACGATTCTAAAGCTTCATCATCTAAGAGGAAATCCACTTCCACTCGTTGATCTAAACTTTTTTCTCCATCTGTCTTTTGTCTATTTCGTGTTTTTTCATCTGATCTGTACTGTTCGCGCGCGCATTTGATTAGCTTTCGCATTAAGCTTTTAGTTCGTCGTCCTGTTTTCCGCGGTTGAAACTTTTGCATCGCTCTAAGCGATATCGAAATCGTTAAATATTGGGAGATTCCTGTGTCAGAACTGTTTAAGTTTGATTGTTGAATCTAGAAACAGGAGTTTTTTCTTTCTTAGCTATTATTTTAATAATTCTGTTGCCTATGAGATTAGTTCAAAATTTTAATGGCCATCTCGATGGATCCAATATTTCTTCAAGTTCTCGGATCGAAAAGTTCCTTAAATCTTTTTAAATTATTATGTTACAGGCAAACTATTGTCGCTTTTGATCTTGTGCCGTCTTTTTCAGTGGAATCTCTAAATTTATCTTTACGTTTTCCGTATCTTCTAGGGTGCATATCGAGATGATAACGGAAAGCCAGTGGTCCTCGAATGTGTGAGGGAAGCTGAACGGAGAATCGCAGGAAACCTGAATATGTAAGACGGCGTCTCGTTTATCGTAGTTTGGATGCACTCGTTTAATCGTATTTTATTTTATAATTTAATTAACAACTTGCTGCTCTGATTGGATTGTTCTATCCTCCTCAAGTAGATGAGATGAAATCCTTTTTTAGTCCGTACAACTGGACCATGGTCCATACCTTGTGGAATCTTTGCCTTTGTTACACGCACATTTTCATTTCACTCTTTTCTAGTGGATTCTGATTTTGATTTTTCAATGTCTGTGAGTTGAGATGTCGTGCTTACATGTTGATTATCCACAGCATGCTTTTAATGTCTCATAGATAACTGTTGGAACCATTATCTAGCGTCATTAAATATAATGATTGTTGGATTAAGATAGCACTTCGGAACAAAAGTGATGATTGTATCTTGTGAATTGGCATCTGATCTTTTTGGAATAATTGACGATGAGGTAGCCTCAGAGGTTCTTATTTCTTCTTTACCAAATAATGAACTAGGTTCTGCACACTAGAATTTGAAGGAAAAATTGGAGAGTAATCAGAAAGAAAATTGAATGTTTAATTAAATTTAAACTACCTAGGTTTTGACTCGTTGTGTTTGTTGTGGTTGTCCTTGGAAAGGCTATCTTTCGCCATTCTTGATTACTTTACTCAGTTGCACTGAGATAAACTATTATGCTCTGTAGATCGGTGATACAATTTTACCAGCGCTAACTTCTTTTGGATTATTCATTTTAGGAGATGATGATAAGGTATAGAGTGATAGAATACTACAAGGAGCCTATTGGCATTAGAAACTAAAGACTCTTGAATCAAGTGTGCTCATTGACAAAGCCTAAGGTCTTCTTATTCACATGAAACCAACATCCATTGGTGTATGCCAGTGTGGATTTTCTCGTACTTTACATCTTAGCAAGTAACAACATATATTTTGCTGTTTAATTCTTTTTGTACTTCTCATGGTGACTGCGACTTGTTAAATAGGAATGACAGTTTCAGTGTTTGATTAGTTTCAATGCATACATGTAGATCTTTTTGTGTACAGACAAGGCATAACCTGCGTGAGCGTCACGCTTGAAATTGATTTATTTATTTGAGCTATTAAAGATATTGGCCACGTTTTGTCTGTTCTAACAGGGAGTATCTTCCAATGGGAGGAAGTATGAAGATGGTGGAAGAAACACTGAAGCTGGCTTATGGAGAGAATTCTGACTTCATCAAAGATAAGAGGATAGCAGCTATACAAGCTCTCTCAGGAACTGGAGCATGTCGTATTTTTGCTGACTTTCAGAAACGTTTCCTTAGCGGTTCCCAAATCTATATACCAGTCCCTACATGGTCCAAGTAAGAATTGCTGCTAAATCTGCATGAAATTAAAAAAAGAAAAAAAAAAAAGGTCTACTTCATTGGTATCCTGTTTCTCACTTAAAGATTTTCAAACAGCCACCATAACATCTGGAGAGATGCACAAGTTCCTCAAACGACATACCGCTACTATCATCCAGAGTCCAGAGGATTAGACTTCGCAGGATTGATGGATGATATAAAGGTATAAAGCATGCTGACATTTTCAAGATGTCTTATCTAACTCTAGTACTTTTAACATTCATGTTAATAGTGCCTCATGAGCACACTGAATTCTGTTGATTTCATTCTGCTGATGCCTTTTTTTTCTGTTTAATTTGCATGACACTGTTTAGAATGCTCCAAATGGCTCATTCTTTCTACTTCACGCATGTGCACACAATCCTACTGGAGTGGATCCCACGGAGGAACAATGGAGAGAGATATCACACCAGATTAAGGTCAGAATTTTTGGAATGATTGTTTCATAGATCATATCTTACAACTATTTCTTTGCCAGATATTGAACATTGTGATTTTTTAGGCCAAAGGTCATTTTGCCTTTTTTGACATGGCATACCAAGGTTTTGCTAGTGGTGATCCAGAAAAAGATGCAAAGTCCATCAGGATCTTTCTCGAGGATGGCCATCATATTGGAATTGCTCAGTCGTACGCTAAAAATATGGGACTCTATGGCCAGAGAGTAGGATGCCTTAGGTATGTGTCCACTAGATTGATTCCACTTCCACTTTTCCTTCGTTTACAAAACAACATGCTATCTCCTAGTAATGTCTATATACCTGGTGCATTTTTGTTGACTAACTTTAATGTGATTTTAATCACCTGTAGCTATCATTTAATACCTTTTAGGTTAGCTTAAAAAAAAACACTTTCAATAAATATATTCATAGATCTTTAGAAAATGCTTTAAATCATTCAAAAAACTATACTAAACACACTTTAAATGATTTTTTTTTTCTCCAAAAGTGCTTAATAGACATATTGATATTCATTTTCCAAC